CCTTCCTACTCATAATGCATTCTAGGGAATTCTCATCTATCTGTCCATCCGTCCATCCGTCCTTCCATCCACCCATCCATTCATCCATTCACACAGCCAATATATGTGAAAAGCCTACCATACACCAGGGGGCTTTTTTGGAAACTAAGAAAATTTCATTAAATTCCCTGATGTGGAGCATTATGGTTATGGAGGATAACTATAAATTTTCAAAATTAGTATGGCATGACTGTTGTCAGTAGAATCTTTTAGCGATTCCAAGAGAAAACTGTCACAGCTATAGAGGCTAAACCCTTAAAAAGCTCATATTAATGTTTAGTGAAATTTATCACTGAATGCTGTCCTAATATATAAAACCTTTATATTATCACTCTAAATCGCACATTAGGCTAGAGAGTTGTATATAGACATTTTCATTTAGCAACAGAAAATATTGACTATAAAATAAAGCGATAGGAATATATGATATTATTATACTAGTAAATCTATATTCTAAATGTGTCTTCTTTGTGTAAGGCATAGGAAAGTCAACATCTTATTCATTAATGGCTTGTAGAAGTACCCTGCACACTGTAGATATCCGAGATACTATCTTGATTTTTTGTTTATATAACAACTCATATATATATGTATATATATTTAATTTATATATTTATATATATTTAATTGAATTGAAGGCTTAAGTATTATGAGATATTATATATATAATATATATATTCTTAAGCCTTAAATTCACTCACCATAGGATTATAAAAATAGGTTAGCCTAAGAGAGAAAAATAGATATGCAAACATGTGTACTTGTTCAAATAAACATGCATCAATATGCAACATACCAAGAATTCTTGATTTAAAAAAGTTGAAATTACATTATGAAAATGTGCTCATCCCATGCTATCAGGTATGATATTAACAACTGCATTTCATGCTCTTAAGGTAAACACTCTAAAATTCTGGTCAATATGTTTGAGTCAGACCATAAACAGAATGCTTTTCCTGCTAACCTTAAGTCTTGAAAGCCCCTAAGTTATTTTCTGAAGTCTTCATTAGCTATTCATTACCAGGAGAAAAGTTAAACTTTCTACCTGAAGACTTATCCCAAAACTAGGTTTCCTTTCTACTTTTTCTTATTTTACATTGCTTTGGTAATTGAAGGCATTTGTTTTCTGTTGTATTCTTCAGTTTCTGGAGCCTCTGACCGGAAAGACTATACAATGGCCTCCAAGCATACATTGGATTTTACTATTGGCTTCTGTTTAAAGGCTTTCTTTCCACTGTTCATTTATCTCCCAGGTGTCATTCTCAGTACAAGCGAAGCACGCTGCATACCAGAGGCGTTCTGTTCTCAACACAGCTACATTTACTGAGTCACATCTGAACAATACGTACTTCCATATTCAGGAAGATGAAGCCCTCATCAAAAGGGTTATCAAGTCATGAGAAGTTTCTATGCATCCAAATGAGGACATGACTTGAGGTTTATTACTCACTATTACAGAATCATTGTGGCTATCCATTTCTTAACTAATTATATATAAAAAAAAAGGTTATCCAGAAAGCTCAGTTATGGCTTGAAATTTTTACATTCTTCTCTTTATCATCTAAGTTATGATTTGGAGGATTCAGGTAGCTGCTTTCTCTTTTTTGTGGGATGAATTTGTTAAATTCCTCAATCTTATTTATATTAGCTGTCAAAAAATAGTTATGCAGTATAAACATAATAAAAATAATTTTATTTTTTATTTATTTTTGAAAGACGTTCTCTGTATAACCTTGACTGTCCTGGCACTCATTCTGTAGACTAAGCTGGCCTCAAACTAACAGAGATTCACCTGCCTCGCCTTCTGAGTGCTGGGATTAAAGGCATGTTACAATACACGCCCCAATAAAAGTAAGTTTCAAAGCTTTAAATCGCATTTATAGTAAAATTATTATTGTAATGCATATTAGATAATATATATTAAATGAGAAAAATAGACAAAGCAAAAATAATTAATAAAATAAGATATCTTTGTATAAACATTACTTAAATAAGAAACTCACTTGACACACAAGTTTCAGATAACAAAGACACCTTCATTCTTTCTTTGCAAACTTTATGATGGTTCAGAACTTTAGAGAGTGACTGTGATCTGGACTTCTTTTAATGAGAATTAAAAATGAAAATAAATGGAAAACAAATTAAGAAATTTTCTATACGAAGATACAAATGCTTATAACAGCTGTCATAGTAAAAGAAAGGCATCTGCTTTTAGGGAAAATAAAAGACATTTTCTTTTTAGAAAAGATATCCATTGCTGTGGATTCATTCTAAAATTATGCAAGAGGACCCAAAAGAAACAACAAAAGAAGAAAACAGGAGATCCTGTTGTTTGAGCCTTTACAATATTCTAAGTGATATATCATCTGATTTACACATTTTGCTCATTTATTCACAGTGCCTTGTGAGAGAAACATTCTTGCCCCCATTTTACAGATAGTAAGCTTATGCTTAGAAGATAATTTGTCATCCGTCTTACGGCTTGTCTCTGATAGTAGACCTGGGATGTTAAGCCAGAATCTATCTAATCACAAAAAACGCATGTAATGCTATTAGAGAAACAGTGCAGGATACGATCTAGAAGAACCCAAAGGCGCACAGAGCGTTTCACAGCTGTGGCTCATAAACTACTCTTTAGATTTGGCTTACAAAGTAAAAAAAAAATGTTTTAGCTTTAACAGGGTGACAAGTTTTGAGAGAGAGAGAGAAAGCTCAAGGAAAAAGCTTTCAAAGCTATAAGTGGTTGGCCCTGGGCCATGAAAGCACAGTGTGTAAAATCTTTGAAGGTTAAAGGATCTCTTTGGACTAAAAGGCTAAACCAACTATTTTTTTTTTTTGTCAAGTTGCTAAGAGTAAAGTTCGTATACATAAAGAACCAATTAGCCCATTTATCTCTGCACTTGAGATCTCAGTATAATAATTCAACTGCCATGCCTAGGTTGTGATTATAATAACACTTACTCATCACTGACTTTGACCTGAATTATTCTAGATGATTTCTATTTGACTCTTGCAGCAATTTCAGGAGAAGTACTCCCATCATCTCTTTTGGAGGGACTAGGTCATGTCTGGGGTCAGAGCTCATGTCTTTGCAATTATTTTGTGCAGATACCAGAGCAGATCAATCATTACAACTATGTATTTTACCCAATCGTTTTGATATTTGATATAATCCTTTTCTAAAATGGCCTACCTTAAAATTTCACTTGCTAAACATATTTAAAGATTGTTAGTCTTTTCAATACAGTCAGCCACCTACCATCAACTAGCTAAAATTCCATTCAGTGGGAAGAGTATGATTTTCGTGCCTTACAGATTGTATTACGTTGAGAAAGAAGTCTTCAGGCATTGGGGAGGATAAGAGAAGGTAAGGGGCACTCAGGTATGTTTACAACACATTTATACTGCATTGTTAAAACTTAAAAAAATACAATGTAAGCATAAAATAATCCAAATAAAATAAAAAACACATGGATTTTATTTAATGATCTTTATATACTCTATAAACTCTAGTTCAATGTCATACAAATGAAACACAAAGCTCTGTGGTACAGTATAGTTACTGATTTTTTGAGCCATTTAAGATTTAACTTCCTGATGTCATATAGTGATCAAAGTTTCTTGATAGTGTTGTTTATTTCTTCCCTTTATTTTTTTTCAGTATGGGGATCGAATTCAGGCTGTGCTTTCTAAGCAAGTTCTCTACCAATTTACTAAACACAAGGCCTGAAGAAAAGTTTTGATACTGTGTACTGTGAGAAAACATTACTGCACAATATAAAATACAAAACGAATACAAAAACAAATATGTATTCGTTCTAGAGTTTTCATTTTTACCTACAGTGATTGAAATTGATATTAAATGCATAATATGGATAGCATTGTTCATATATGTGTGTTTGTGTGTGCCACAAGCTGAGGCCAATGTAGCTATAATATTCTTGCAAGAACCCAGACATTTATGGTAGATAAGTAATTTTACTTATGTCAGTAAACATAAAATATTCTAAAATCATACAGAGAAGATAACCAGACTCTGTAATCAAGTAATAAAATGTACGAATTGTAATATCTTCTAAATCTTAGAATATGGACAAGTTAGAGCTATTGAAATAATTATCGTAAAAGTAAACTAACATTTATCACAGTTAAGTTGCATATGTAAAGGGATTTAAATTCCTATAATCTATTGATGTTCAAGTACTTGGATGAAAAGTAAGGGCTCCAGAATCATTTTCAGGTTTGATTTTATCTGGAAAGCAGTAACAAGATTATCAAATTTTTCACATGCAACAGAATATTAATTTTGTAAGAATATAAGATCAAGGAGTACTGAAGCTTTCAGAACGAATCATGAGAAGGCTGCATAAACTTATGTGAAGACTTGAATTTCACTGTGTTTTGGAAAATTAGCACATATAATATGAAATGAAACACTTTTTATATTAGTGTATCTTGACATATTACAGGGCATTTCAAATTGTATAGGATAAAAATTAAATGAAAACTTAGAAAAACAGGTTTTGTTACTATAAAATGCCACAAGATGCAGATATTTTTCCATGTTTACTTTTTCAGAGTTAATAACTTTATTTTTGCAGATATAATTTTATATCTGTATAGCAGGCTGTTCCACCCCCAAATTAAAAATGACAGAAAATAGACATAGGAGTTAGGCATGACTATAAAGTCACCTGTCACAAACATAATCAGAATGATAGCTTTCAAATTAGAGTACTTTTTAAAAGCATGTCCATTTTATACTTTATCAAGTAAAATTCTGCTTCATTTGGAATTTTTTTTTAAAAGGTAAATTTCTTTAAAACATTTATTAACAGCAAAGATCTAAATGCTCTGGTTTAATACACAAATTCAACGTTTAAAAGTTATCCTAAATATCTTTAGGAAAAAAAAAAAGATCAAAGATTTCAACATGATCAAGGACGTGGATGAGGGAAGAGCCTGGACTGACATTATATAATTAAAGAAATACTGATGCTGTTAATTTTAGAAATAATTTAATTTGGGCCATATCAAAGAAGCCGTGTAATGGAAGAAAAGAGGCCAAAGGCACGTCTCTGGGCAGCACTGATGGTTGGTACCCTAACCTCTATGTGTAAAATAATGCTCGCTGGCATTAGCTTCCGTCAATTCATCTGTGATTTCTAGATTAATTCTGAAGGAAACCATAGCTTACTTGAGGATCCCGATGAGTATCTGTGTGCCTGGCTTTTTTTGTCTCTGTTCACAGACAAAGAACTCCCACTGGTCATGGAAAAAAGGTCTAAATCCGTGTCTTCTCTGCTTACAAGTCTTGCCTGGGAGCAACGAGAGAGAATGTATACAATCATGAAACAAAATATGGCATTTTCTGAATGCAGCTCACATTACCCCAAATAAACAAACAGGCTCTGTCAAACAACCTTCTTCAAAATGATACCACAATCCTTTATTGCTGCCCAGCCAGAACAAATGCACTATGTCAAAGGATGTTTTGCAAATAAGAGCCGATTTTAAAATTAAGGTTTGCTATTTGAGTCCTTACAACAAAAGAAAGCATTTTAGTACAGTAATTTTGATGAAAATCAATCTTAAAGGCAGTGGGTGAAACTATAAACAGCTTAACCTCACTTACTGACCAAGTATATTATTTAATAGTTAATTAAATGTTAAAGGCGTCATAGTATATTATTTTATAGTATTTTTATTAAACCGGCTATAGCATTATTTTCCATCAACAATTCTTAAAATGAATTTTGCATATTTGTGAACCACTTCATCACAGATTGTACATATCCTTTCATTATAGCCAATATCAGTGTGAAATATTACACATCAAATGATCTCATTTTGAGGTAATGTTAAATATATAGTAATTTCAAAGCATATTTATGCACCCAGTGGATTATTCAGTCATCTGCAATTACTATTGTACTGTTATTACTATGGTATATTGATACTTAACATCAAAAGAATTTCTTGTTACCTATAGGATATTGCTTTACAGAATGTCTTGCATCATTAGGAATTTATCAAGACTGAGCTGTGAAGTGGGGAATTTGCTGTGATGAAAACCAAAGCAGTCCCTAAGTGGATGGGATCTACCCCAAACCACTCTATAATTGGATTCCTGTGAGAAAGTATTGCCCTAAATGTTTGCTGGGAGGAAAACTTAAGCAGAGTGAAATAAAGGGAAAAAACCACCACTGTGGTTTAGAAAACTATCTCTGTGTAAGGAGTTATATAGACTCAACGAATCAGAGTCTAAATATGCTCTTTCACATTTAGATATCACCTCCTTCTCTCTGCCCTCTTCCCTCTCCTCTACTTTCCTCCCCCTCGCCAATCTTCCTTCATGTCACCATCTTCCTCTCCCTCCCCTCCTCCTCTTTTATTCCTCTTTCTCCTCATCCCTCCCTATCCCTGTCCTCTCTTCATTGGCTCTCTGCTCTCTTCCTGGCTGCCCTGGAGCTCTCCAGTGATAAGAATATAAACATACACCATATACGGTTTGTCATTTTTTTCTTTCTTTTCCCACCTTCTCATTCTCACTCACAAATGAATAAAAATATTTGTTTTTCTGAAATAAATATAATTTTTAATCTACAAAATTTGTGCACATTGATGTTGTATAAGACATTTTAAATTTGTATACATAATGGAATAGCCCCCCAAAGCTATTGACATAGAATTAATGAGCAAACTTTTCTAGACTTCCATAAACAAACCTTTGGGGAATTAATGAGCAAACTTTTCTAGACTTCCATAAACAAACCTTTGGGCCATATCTCAAATTTAAGGCATAAAGCATAAAATAAAAATTTAAAGTGCAGTTTACCAGGAACATTTGACTTCACAGAAGTGCCATCTAACAGCTTAAATTTAAATGTGCAAACATTTTAGCTTTACTTCACAGAAGACAAAGCAGCTGGACTCTGGCAGCCTTCCTCAGAAACCTAGAATTTCATATATAGGCTCAATCCATGGCTGTCAGTGAATCTAGCATAGCTCATTTAAACATTATTAATGTTTAAATTATATATCTAAAATATTGACTTTAGCACTATTTTATCAGTTAACAGAAAAATTATAAAGGAAAAATATATCTTTTCATCCTTATGCTTGTTATCATTGGGATATGGTGCACTTCCCCAAAAGGCTTATAGTTGGAAGGCTTTGTCTGAGCTAGTTGACTCTCCTGGAACTCAAGTTACGGATGGGGTGAGACTCAATGTGACTTTTGGGAAATGAACCCAGGTCTTCCGAAAGAGCAACCAATGATCTTTACACCAAACCATGTCTCTAATCACCTATTACCATACTTAAAAAAAAAAAAACAGACCCTGGGGGCTGGAGAGATGGCTCAGAGGTTAAGAACACTGGCTGTTCTTCCAGAGGTCCTGAGTTCAGTTCCCAGCAACCACATGATGGCTCATAACCATCTGTAATGAGGAATGGTGTCCTCTTCTGGCATAGAGGTGTACATACAGGAGGAATATTGAATACATAATAAATAAATTCTTAAATTGGAAACACTGTTATGATGCAGGGAGTTAGTTCTCTATATGATTACACAATGGATGGTTTAAAATTGTACCAATAAAATAAAGGGATGATCAATTAAAAAAACACACCCTGTTATATCTTGAGAAGGGTTTAAATGTAATTTCTGTTTTGGGTGTTGTTTCATTACTCTTCATTATATGTCCACATTGTTATAACTCCCATTGCAATCAAGTCAAAAAAACTGTTTCGTTATTCCAAAGTAAGCCGTTTCTGCTCCTTCACCCTAAAGCTAAGCACCAACTACTGACACACTCTCTGTGGAGTCAGCACTGTGATTATCAGAATATGAAATGATTGAAACTTACAATATTTTACAGTAATCTGAGGTAAACTATTTAAGATCATGTTCTGTGTGCATGTTAATATTTTCTTGCTGATTGCCATGCAATGATTTCATTTTACATCCATTTCGCCTGTCTTCCACGGTTACATTTTCACACACTAAGTGGACTTTGGTTGTGTTGAGCTTTGCAGTTAATATGAACAAAACTATTCTAAAAATATTGTATAATATTTCAAATGAATATGTGCTAAAATACTTTTTAAATATTGAGAATCTATTTTAATTATATTCAGCCTCCTTTGTACTGTTTTCTTAATGAATGTTCATTACTTTCAGGAAAAATGTTCATTAGCCCATCTGTTGCATGTATGTTTCTCAATTTTCTTCATTAAAGTTCTTTAATTAAAAAATAATAATTAAAATATAGTTACACTTCTCCCTCTACACTTTTCTCTTTAGAACCACTCTATACCACCCCCACTAATCGCTCTTCAAATTAATAGCCTCTTTTTTGTTATTATTGTTACTTATATGACATTGTAATATTGTTAGATACATTTGCATGTAAATATATAACTACAGTTTGCTGAGTTTGCTCAATCTTGTTTGCGTGTATTTTATTTCAGGGCTGACCAGCTGTTATTGGATAATCAATTAGGGGGATCATCCCTGGGAGAGACTGAACCTCCCTCTATCAGTGGTCATTAGTTGTCTGCATTTGCTTAGGAGTGCATACTGTGAAATTTTCTCCTTCTACATCAGTGTGAACCATAGAATGACCAGCAGGCCAAGATATCACTACAGGTTATAGAGTGGCTTTCAGAGCGTGGCGGTAAGCAAGAACTGGCTAATTAGACTGAAGGTACTTTCAGTAGGAAGGAATCACATCTGGAACTAGAAACCTAATGAATGTCCTGGGACACGTAAGATCACAGAGTTGAGACTTCTACCACTACGTTACTAGATCAGCTACTAGTTAATTGTATTCTAAAACTTATCCTTATACCCACAGATAAATGTAGTTCTCACCCTATTCAAGACAGACAAAACAGAACCTTCACTTTGCAGCAAATGGTCCATTACAGAAACACACAGCTGATCATAATTCAGCAGTCAAGTCACCATGGTGAGCTCAGCAGGGATGGATACATCCACAATAAAACTCCTACACCTGAGCCTCTGAAAACATCATGGAAGAGGGTAGAGAAGTATAACAACAGCAGAGGAACAGGATGTCTTCAGTACAATTATGTACCCTAGAAACAACAGAGGACTTACACATAATACCTCAATAATAATATGATTACCTAGCAATTCTTAAATGATGACAATACCAACAAATATGCTAACATGGAAGGGGTAATTTGATAGACAACATATTCCCAAGTTTTAAAATCTGAATAATTTATAACCTGAAACATGGCTATTCTCTGGAAAACCCCAGAATTTGCTTCATTTATCAATTTAATCCAATTATCAACAAACATTTATATATTGTTAACATATTTTCTAATATATTTCACACTATAAATATTTTACAATATTATAAAATGCTATTTTCTATTTTTTTCAGTTCCTTTGACCTTGCTTCTTTACATGCAGAAATTAAATTTGATTATAGTCTTGTGCTATAATACTGAAGTTTAATAAGATGTATACAAATGGTTTTATCTCCATTATTAATAATGTGTTTTCTTTTAATGTTTTTCCTTCCTTCTTAACTGCCACATTGCAGCCTTTGCCAGGCAATGATAGCATAAGCCTTTAATCCCAGCACTCAGAAGGCAGAGGCAGATGGATCTCAGTGAGTTTGAGGCCAGCCTTATTTACAAAGCAAGTTCCAGGGAAAGGAAGGAAGGAAGGAAGGAAGGAAGGAAGGAAGGAAGGAAGGAAG